TCTAGTTTAATTTCAGATCTAATAAATCCTTACACGATTCACAGAGTTCGAAGTCCATATTCGTCTACAGATTCTCAGTATCCAAATGAAAAGCAACTACAGTCAAACACGAATGCAATCAGGGCTACAGAGATGTTCTTTCCAATCAAGCTTCGCACAGGGATTGTGCGATCGAAGGGCACTAATGATGGTTTTAGCGGTCAAGTCTTCGGAACGCCCTGAAACTCTGGAGAGATATTTGCCCCGGGAGCTTTCAACAATGGCTTTTGCAATTCCTCGAATACTACTTTTAAATCAGGCAATGAAAACACATTGCGGTAACCAGCAAAAATCGGTTACTTCGTCTTTGTAGAGCTCGATGAATTTACATGGAACATGGAAACGCATTTCACCACAATGCAGGTGCTTTTAGAGCTTTCGCAGCGAATAGTTGACTAGCAATGAAGCAATTTTCACTTTTGTTGTAAATCAAAGGAATTTCGAGGTATATTTTCAACGCGAAACATATTAAAGGTCGACAGCCACGACAGGAACCACGCGTAGGAAAGCCCTCGAATGTCTTGTATATGATCCTCGCGTGGGTTGGTTTGTTAGCGCGCGCCACGCATTCGAGCGCGATCGTGGACTTTTGCGAGAGCATCGCGCTATGCGCATTTTACTCATTTTAGACATTTTCGGCCAAGATTAGCAATTTTTTTTCGGAACAAGTATCTTTTGGTTACTAAATGCAAGTTTACGGGCTATTACAGCCATTCAATCGTCTTTTTGGCGAAGTTATGCCTCCAAAATATTATTTCGTAAATTGTGGCAAAAAGCGGCAGAAAAATCCGAAAAGACTCGTCGCTGTTACAATTAAAAAAAAATTTGGAACGCTTCACGAATTTGCATGTCATCCTTGCGCTGGTTAGGCCAATGTTCTCTGTAGAGTGAACCAATCACATCCACTCGTTTGGAAGTATTTGACCAATCACATCCACTCGATTACCATTAAGCTGACCAATGGTATCCACTCGATTTCAATTAACCAAACGAGTGGATGTGATTGGCCAATTTGTGAGCTAACAACATGGTACGGTTCGTTCTCTTTGGTTACCTTTAAAATTTTGAATCGGAAAGTAGAATCTTGAATAAGCGATAAAAAAATGTCATTGAAATAGCGAGAGATCGACGAGAACATCGAGCACTAACCTGAACTACAAGAATCCGTTTAGATCTGTTATCCGCCTAAAATATTCGTAGAAGAGACGTGCGCGCTCGATCGTTTTCGTTGCTGTCGTTTGCCTTTGTGGTTTTTCTTTCAGCTTATATCCTTCAGCCATGGCGAGAATGCCGAAGTTTACACGTTTTAGCAATGGGGATTTGGTGCTTAACTACACTAGAGAAGTGAATGAGGTGTTCAAGAAGAATTAAAAGCAGTAGGACCAGGTGATTAGCAAACCTCCCGAAGAGGTAAGATTAAACAATTTATGAAGCAGCTGCCTCTAATAAGTGGTTGTGGTCACTTTTGACTGGGGTTCCAACTGCAAGTTTGTATTGTCTTCTGCCTGTATTGAATGGTTACATAGAGTGGGACAGTATACACCCAAATAAAACTAATAATCTTTCATGTAAAATTTAATCCACATTTATCTCCCGAAATCATTGTTAATAGTATTTTTTAACTTATTTTTGTACATTAAGTGGTCAATTATGACATAAAATGACATTTTTATTTCTTTGTAAAACCCTATTCTGTGGAATCTGTATTAAGCAGTCAACCTTTGAGCAGTCACAAAGCCATTTCCCATGGGTGACTGCCTAATACTTGTTTTGGCTGTGTATCTTTCAGCTTTCAAGCTATCACTTTGTATTTATTGTAACCGTGTGCCATATTTATTTCTTTGTACGTTTTGCCCTGAAAAGTTTTTTGTATGCCTGCCTTCAACCTGACTTCTTTTGTTTAAAAATGTGTGATTACATAATTTCGCTGTAGTCACCACATTGTAACATGCAATGTTATTTGAATGGAATTAAATACTCAGAGTCAAGTTTTCTTGTTGTTCTTACACATGTTAATACCCATTCTACAACAGAAACTTTGAGCAATTTTTCACAAGACAATGTGGGTTTAAAAAGGTGGGATTGTGGTAAAGTAAGTACCAGAGGCCTGAATTTATTGAGCAACCTGGCCCTTTAGAATGAAGGTTTTTACTCTGACCTCCCCCCCTCCCACCCTTTAACGTTTAGGGGCACACACATAGAGAGTACCTTTTTTTTTTGTATTGTTACTCCTAAAGTTTACATTAATCGGCATCCACATAATAGTGCACAAGTCAGAAAATATGAGTGCCCCAGCTTGATAAGTTAGAAAATTAAACCAAGGGAATGAGTTGTGCAGTCCATATCCTGCTTTTTATCCTCCTCTGTATGGATATTTGCACAAGTAACATAGTCAATATGATTGTCTCATTCACTCTCATTGTCCACTTGACTGATAAAAAAATGATAACCTTATTTGTTAAATGAAGAAATTAAAGCCTACCCTCTTGATACCTGAAAGACCTTGACTCCATGCCCCCTCTAGATAATTAATGATCGGTCCCGAAATTCCCTGAATAATCTTTGACAGCCAGTGTTGAGGAGTTTTTATAAAGTGAAGGACTGGAGAATAAACTTACCAGAGCTCTGATTTTGAGCTTGGTTTAATCTATGAATCTACTAAAAGAGGCTTAACTTAAAGACTCAATTTTATTGATGGCGATTCTTTTTCAGCAGGGTTGCTTTCATTGGTTTGGCGTTGAACAAAAATAAAATTTCTTTATCTTCTTAGCTATTGACTCACTGCCGATTTATTCCACATTTCTAAAAAAAGAGGACTTAAGGGTCATTACGCACTTGAATGCGTGGCGCGCGCTAAGCGGTAATGCACGCGTGGATCATAGACGAGGCATTCTAGAGCTTTAGCGTGACTTCTGTGGTTGTACTCTATTTCCCGAACGTTAGTGTCGTAAATCGTTGGTACAGTGAGCGTATGTCACGCAAGAATTTTTAGTTGTTTCATCTGGTTGAAGTATGTCACAAAATTGTGGTTAATTTTCTCATTTGTTTACGTCTAATTTTCATTAAAACATCAGGTAATATTTTTCGCCCCTCGAAAACCCGGTTTACGGCAACTGTTTCCATGCTAAAGCGATAGTGTGACATTTTTACCTTTAATTGAAAATTGTTTTTAATATAGTAAATGTTTCATTTTTATCTTGTAACTTGAGTCAGGAATAAGGTTTTTAACACACCTTTACTGTGATCTGCCAGGATATTAGCTCTCCAGTTCTTCTAGATATCCCTTTCGATTCGTTTTTCATGTTAACTTTAGAGTCTTCTCACAAAGTAAGTTTATTACTATATTTATTTATTGTTCTGCACGTTTTGCGCTTTAAACTATTTCTGTCAGAGTTTGCTGTTGGCGAAATTATTCAGTAGGTTACTTCTTCGTTTGTAATCGAACGCGTGGTGTTTATTCAGTTATGTGATGTATCTGTTCGAGTTTCTTGTTGATTATCGTACTAAATGTTTCATTCGCTTTCATCCCAGGACGCTCTGACTAAAATTTAACCCTTTCTAGTTTGTTGAAACGCTGTTTAATTAATTTCAGATCGAATAAATCCTTACACGATTCATGGAGTCCGAAGTCCATATTCGTTTACAGATTCTCAGTATCCAAATGAACAGCAACTAAAGTCATACACGAATGCAATCAGGGCTACAGAGATGTTCTTTCCAATCAAGCTTCGTACAGGGTTTGTGCGATTGAAGGGCACTAACGATGGCTTTCGCGGTCAAGTCTTCAATCGATCAGCCAGAACGCCCTGAAACACTGGAGAGATATTTGCCCCGGGAGCTTTCATCACAACTGCTTTTGCAATTCCTCGAATACTACTTTTAAAGCAGGCAGTGAAAACACATTGCGGTAACCCACGTTGCTTTCATCAGTCAGCAAAAATTGGTTACTCGGTGTTGGTGGAGCTCGATGAATTTACATATGGAACATGGAAATGCATTTCACCACAATGCGGGTGCTTTTAGAGCTGTCGCAGCGAATAGTTGACCACTGATGAAGCACTTTTTTCTTTAGTTGTTATTCAAAGGAATTTCGAGGTATATTTTCGACGCGAAACATAGTAAAGGTCGACAGCCACGACAGGAACCGCGCGTAGCAAAGCCCTCGAATGTCTTGTATGTGATCCTCGCGAGCGTTACTTTTTTAGCGCGCGCCACGCATTCGAGCGCGATCGTGGACTCTTGCGAGAGCGTCGCGCTATGCGCATTTAACTCATTTTAGACATTTTCGGCCAAGATTAGCAATTCTTTTTCGGAATAAGCAACATTTTGGTTACAAAATGCAAGTTTACGGGCTATCACAGCCATTCAGTCGTCTCTTTGGCGAAGTTATGTCTCCAAAATATTATTTTGTAATTTTTGGCTAAAAGCGGCAGAAAAATCCGAAAAGACTCGTCGCTGTTGCCAAGAAAAAAAAATTTGGAACGCTTCACGAATTTGCGTGTCATCCTTGCGCAGGGGCCATGCTAATCTTCTCTGTATCGTTCCAATTTTAGTATATGTGCTGCCGTTAAGCGAGCACGTCTATAATACAGGTTTACTTTCTTATATATATGAATCTATTGTGTGATGCTAAACCAAGTGGGACGGGATCAAACTTGATCTTTGGGGGTTACCGACCGACTTAGTGCGCATGCGTTTTATAACGACGAACACCTCCGCAAACATAGATAAACTTCTGTCTTTGTTAATTGGCTAGTTCCCAAAATTTTCTTAATTTCTTTAAAACGAATTTGACGACTTTCAGTTGGTTATAAACTCTGAGATTCCTGTATCCCATGTATAAACATATGTTAACAGATCTGAACTATGCTCAAGACTCATATGCATTCCCTTTGCAGTCAATATAAAACATATTTTATTGGTTAGCATCTTTCGAGCTCTAGTCCGTCTCTCCTGTCCAGTGCGTCCATCGTCCCTTACCAAATTTTACCAATCCTATAATCCTATAATCCGGATGCCAACGTTTTCATGGGAATAAATTTTATTTTCTATTCATACCGATCAGCTCTTTCTCGAGAATGTTCAAAGCAAATCTGTTTTGTACTATAGTTGCTGCAACACACAGTTCAAACGTATTAAAAACGTTTCTCCAACGTCCTTGTGACGTCACTCTGCTCTAGAGCAAGCAGTTGCCAGTGGTATCCTTTAAAGAGCCTGCGTAATGAGAACAATTTTTCAATATGGCGGACGAAGACGAACAGGATTCGATCTAATTCGTAGAAGTGGTATTGCTAACTTTTTAGAATGATTATCAGCAGTTCGAAAACCAGCTATCTTGTTCAGAAAATGGCAAAAAATCGTGTGGATCGTAAAGGTATTCTATAATTTTTTTTTCTTATGTTATACCCTTTGGCAAGTGGGGAGCCTACTGCGTCTGCAGTAAAAAAGATGACCCAAATTTCAAATAAAGTATCATTACGAAGATCGAGCATAGAGGTTTGAAGGGTTTGAACAAAAATCAATCGTTTTAAAAATGTTTGAAGTAAGCTTTCAATGTTTACCTCGTTTCATGTCTCCAAACTTTCGCCGATCAATGGCATCAACAAAAAATTGTTCCTCGCACAATGAATGAGTGTTGCTATGTTTCTGCATGTATACCTTGTACTGTAAGTGCCCCCTTTTTTTTTTTTTTATCTCCGGTTGCTACAGAGATCAGGGTATAAAATGGAATGAGCTTGAGTTGTAATTAGTCCTTTATATGTTTAAACATTATTCGAGGCTTTATCTTTCCAGGACCAGTTATTCTCTAATTAGTTGAATGTGCATGCTTATTCTCTTTTACATATATGCTGTTTCATCATCTGTTTTAGGAATCTTCAAAACCTTGCATTGGTGGACCTCTAAAAGAGTGCTTTGTTGTTTTCAAAGGGATTCTCAACATTTTGCTTTTAGACCCCTGTCTAGTGTTTTGTTCAACCCTGCACAAAGTCAACACCATACCACATCAGAACTTAGTCAAGGCATTAAACCATTTCCACTTGCATTAGCTTCATCACCTTTTATTCATGATTTCAGAACTTGTTTAAGGCAGTTTTTACATAACTTTTGCCGTCAAAGCTCAGGGATTGACCTGCAAAATGAGACTTCAACATCTCTAAAGAATTATTCTACTATGAAAATCACTGGAGTTGTTCCAAAACTTAGTCATGTTGACAAACAAGGTCATGCACAAATGGTCGATGTGGGTGGCAAGACAGAAAGTAGTAGACTTTCAGTGGCAATAGCAAAAGTGTATTTGGGCCAAGAAGCATTTAATCTTGTGAAAGAAAACAAAATTCACAAAGGTGATGTGTTAACAGTGGCTCAGCTAGCTGGGATTATGGCATCCAAACAAACACCAAATTTAATTCCTTTGTGTCACAATATTCACATAACTCATGCTGAGGTCAATCTAGAACTGGATGAGGAAAAGTTACCAGTGTGTATCACAGGATCTGTGAACTCTGTTGGAAGAACAGGAGTAGAGATGGAATCTCTGACAGCAGTGACTGTCGCAGCTTTGACTGTGTATGATATGTGTAAGGCAGTTTCACATGATATTGTGATTTCTGATATTAAGCTTGTGAAGAAAGTTGGAGGAAAGAGTGGTGATTATGTTGCAACTTGAAAAGTATACACCATAGGCAGACCACACCAGGTGTTCATGGATAATAATTGTTCACCTGGAACAAAAAAACTTATACAAAGGGACCCTCTCACAACAGCAGATTCTCAACAGCTATTTGAAACTGAAGATGACGTGAGTAATGTCAAAACATGTTTACAAACTTAAAAACGTTGTTTCTTTTGTAAGAGTTGTTGACACTTTCCTTATTTGAAAGAGATTCATAACTATTATTATCATTGATCATTAATCTGGAGTAGGTAGAAAAATTTGTACTTCACCTGGTTTGCATTTTGCAAATAAAAATGGATCAACTAAAGAAATTAATAATTATTTCAGGTGAAAGTGGGTTAAATCTCATTTGAGTGTATTTTCCCCCTGTGTATTTTCATTTTTCCAGTGACCTCCATTTGCTGTCAGTTTGTTGAATTTCCATTTAAATTCTTGTTCTTGCCAATTCAAAATATTGACTGTTTTTTTTTTGGCTGTGTAATCTTTTTTCTCTTTAATCAAAAACCAACACAAATAATTGGCAAAAAACTCCTCCATAGAATTTTAATAAATTGTCCTTAACCCATTGACTCCTCAAAGAGATTGGTATCTAATTTCTCCTTACAATATCACCCCTGAATCAAACATTAAGGTCATGAGAATAAAGTAAATGATCACCAACTATAAAAGCTTAGGATATTGAGACAAATTCTCCTTGTCAGCACCTTAGAGAATGTATTGAGAACAGTATGGAGAATATGCATACTGATGTTGAGGGGTAAAGGGTGTAAAAAATTGATCGGGGAAGATATCTTGATGTAACACCAAATTCTCTGAACTGAATAGCAGGGAAAATGTATAGTAATAGGAAGGGAGAGTTTGTGTGGATCGGTTGCTCTCTCCAAAAGCAAACAGCTAACAGAAATGGTGATAAGGTATGTTTATGAAAGAAATCTTTGCAAATTGAATTATTATTGAATGAAGCCTGTCTTGCAGCAAATTACTCAAATTGAGAGGTTGTCAACATGCAAATAGATATGAGGAGCAAACGGGTGAAAGAAAAGGGACTAAACAGAGATGGGTTGAAATGGTAGGGTTGGATCAGTTCCTCTACAACTTTGACCTAAGATCGTCAATAAAACACCTAATGAACATTTTCTTTAAAATTTGAAGGAATGAAACCACTGCTTTGGTCAAACTTTTCGAACGAGAATACTCTTTCGCCGTGCTCATCGCTTTATACCAGTTTATAGTGCAAATTGTTTATGCGTGACTGATGGCGACCGCAACAAATGCTGAAGCTGAAAAGCTTATCGAGGGTGAAATGTCAAATAATCGCCCCAACGAATCGCTTTTGGGAACACTGGAAGCTATGCATAATAAATGATGGGGTTATATGGAACTCTTGCCCACTGGAACATTATTTGGGTACTGCAGGCGAAAAAATAGGATTGTTAAGACGAATTATATCATAAAGTGCTTTGCAGTCTCAAATAAATTACTCGGTAACCGTCACGCAAAAAATACAATGGACTCCGAAACACGCACGTAGTAATTGACTTGCGTGAGCGCTAACTCTCGAGCTCGAGCCTTTTCGAGTGTGAAGCCAGGCGCGTAGGATCGTCTTACGCAGTCGCGTACCACGCATGGTTGAGGACATGCGCTCTCGTGACTCGCAAGTCGCGTCCTACTACCGCTTGCCGCGTGAAGTTTTGCGTGTGCGTGTACTTGCTCAGCAAACGAGGAAGAAGTAAAGTGCGATGTGCTTAAATTTTTTCGATCGTTCTGCATTTTACCGGTCTCTTTCATATCATTCCGAAGGTCCCGGTGGATTCAACACTGAAAGGAAACATCTATCTAAAAATTTAAAACAAAACAGCTTTCGTAATGCATTTTAAAGACAAAGTTAGCTAGGAAAGAGGTCGTGATCGTGACGTGTCACACAACCAACAAAGTTGAAGGAGTGAATTAGGCGTTAAAAATTTTCGGAATGCAAACTATTGACGATAAGGAGTAGATTTATAGATTTCTAGCCTCGAAGGATACTTAGAACTGTCCGTCCTTTAATGCGCTCAAACCGCTGCGCTTTCATGTCTGAGTTGTTTGGCAACGGCAGATAAAAAAACTTCTTCTTAAACGTACTGGCTAAGGAACTAGCCTGTGTACAGCCGCCCCCTACCCTGCAAAAGAAAATCGGGAAGGGGCCCCCTCCCGATTTTCTTTGTGGCGGCTTTTGGATTTTCTTCTGGCGGCTGTACACAGGCTAGCTAAGAACGTGATTTGGCTACATCAACTAAGTTGAAATTGTAAATTGGCCACCGTAAAGAATTAAAAAGCTGACGTCTCAAGCTTTTTAACTCCTTACGGTGGCCAGTTTACAATTTCAATTTAGATGATAAAATCAAATTACCTTGTTACCCCCACCGACGCAGCACAACAGTTTCTCTAGAAACTTCCCCCCTTTATTCATTTAACTAAGAAAGTGGACTGGTTTCAAAACCCTTTTAATAAGCGTCTGTTTATTTTTCCCAGTATCTCTATTTCAAAATTATCTTTAATGTCGCTTATTGAGAGAGCGAAGACCGAACGATTTTTGCCAGCGGCAAACAAGCCTCCCCAGCAGAACTCCTTCCCTTTTTTTAACCTAAAAGGAGAGCAGAAATAATACCACACATGCAGGTAAATTGTGCTTCTCGCGCATGCTTATTGGCTAGTTTAGAATTTCGGAAGTGATTAACAAGTGCTGTTCATTTTTGAGCAGCCGATGAAACAAAATAGCGCGTCATGTCAGGACTTAAATTCCCGACCAGTTTTCGGTTTATTGAAAGAAAAAAATTTTTTTTGTTTTATGAGGTATTTACTAAAACAATTAGTCACCTCAGCGTCTGTGAAAGTGGTGGATACTTACCTCGCCGATTCGCAGCCCGGTAAACATCCACCAATATTCACCTCCACTTCCGTGAAAAAATTGTCAATTATGATAGCTTATCTCGTGGGGTGAAATATTGAAGAGATCATTGATAATATTCATTCACTCTTTCATTCCCAAGATCTCAATAGTAATTCTCTCTACTGTCTGCCGTTTAATTCTAATGATTTTAATTTAGAGAATTTGGTTTTGGATCAGCATAATTCCCTAATAACATTTTTCCTTATTCTCATCGCTTGTCTGCTTGATATTGTACTGATATCCCCATCCCGACAATTGGAACAATAAAAATCACAACCCGTGGAGTTGAAAAGCAACTTAGTGAGTTGAAGGTAAATAAAGCGTATGGCCCGGATGGAATTCCACCCTGGTTTTTAAAGGAAAATGCCTATGAAATATCACAGGTCCTTACTGACATATATCAAGATTGTATTCACACTGGAACTGTGCCTATCCAATGGAAACACGCCAACGTATGCGCTATTCACAAGAAAGGAAAGAAATCGGATCCTTCAAAATATTGGCCCGTGTCACTTACCTGCATTGCATCAAAGGTACATAAATGACTTACCTGATACTCTTAAATCTACTGTTAGACTTTTTGCTGATGATGCATTGTTATATGGGACAATTTGTTGTGATAAAGACACAGCCGATCTCCAAGAGGACCTGTTTAGATTAGAAGACTGGCAACAAACGTGGAAGATGGAATTTAATCCTTCAAAGTGTAAGATCATGTGTTTTACGACCAAGAGAGATCCACCAATGCGAGAATACGTATTCTGTGGACAAATCCTAGAAGAAGTGGAATCTCACCCTCATCTGGGGGTAATGCTCAATAACAAAATGAGGTGGTCACCACACATTGAAACAATCACATCTAGAGCAAATAAGGTCCTGGGACTTATCAAGCGAAACCTGTGGAATTGTTCAAAGTCAGTGAAAGAAACCGTGTATATGACACTTGTGAGGCCAAAACTCCAGTATGCCTGTAGCGCATGGGACCCACATTACCAGAAAGATAGAGTCGCTCTAGAAAGGGTACAGCGGAAAGCAGCCCGCTTTGTCACTGGAAATTACGATCGAACAACGAGCGTGACGGAAATGCTGCAAGACTTACAGTGGGACACACTTGAAACAATGAGAACACATGCAAGGCTCTCTACTATGTACAAGATGTGCCACGGCCTCCTAGATGGGGATTGGGGGGATTAAAGAAAAGAGAACCCGAGGAAGCCATGATTTTAAATTTATTGTACCGAAAGGACATAAAGATATTTTTAGATTTTCCTTTTTCCCCAGGACAATAACTGAATGGAACAAACTCCCAAAAGAAACTGTTTCCAGTCAATCCCTCCGTATTTTTAAAAGCAAACTAACTTAAATTTATTTATCGGTAGTTTTAAATAGTTTTTGATAATTTTCATTAGTTTTTAATAGTGTTGTATATTTAGTATAGCTTCACTTAGAGTTGGCGTGATGTCCTAAACGATTTTGCCGACATAACGATATTTAGATTTAGGGCCTGATTACATGAGCCGGGCTGATTTCTTTTGTTTTGGTGTTCGCGAAAGCGTGAAAACAAAAGAAATCAGCCCGGCTAACCGGGCCAGCCCGGCTCATGTAATCAGGCCCTTAGATTTAGATATTGTAAGGAGAAATTCTGTCTTGGTCACTCATGGCGGTTGAATGGTTAAGGTACTCCCTTGCGTCATAACAGCATGCACCTGGATGTACATCCTTCATGTAAGATATACTGTATTTCATCGACCACCTCCCACTCTAGGAGTCAGACGTTTATCGAGTAAAAGAACGTGCCGAGATAGACACATTTGAAAGGGCTTTAACATGCGAGAAATTGTGCACCTCCAGGCTGGCCAGTGCGGAAATCAGATTGGCGCGAAGGTAAAATTTCTTGAAAAATACATATTTTTCTTCTAGTCCCGAAATCCATTTGATCGGTTGATGAGAATTTTGTGTTTGAAACCCAGTATCCATTTCCTGATTGATTTCAAAGTTAAACTCGCGCTGTTGTTTGTAAATGCCGTTTCCAAGTTTGTTCTACGTATTACAAGAACAATTCGTGTATAAAATCTCGTCGAAACTAAAATTTTTTGTTCGACAGTAAGCCCATGAAATTTTGTTCAGAAACTGACATCATATGTAATTTTCACCACCAAAAGTAATTGGTCGTTCTCTGATATGTTTCGCTGCGGACATAAATTTTCAAGTACGATCCAAGTTGCAGTTCAACTTGGATCGTATTTGTTTTAATTCTTTTGCAGTTGCTTCTTTATTGATTGTTTATCTCGCTACTATATTTTACCGTATGGAACAAGAATTATTCCCTTATGTTTATTTCATTTTTAACCACACCCAAAATTTTCCTCGAGAAAATGATTAATCAATAAAAAATATCGTTATCATACAGTCGATCTTTCGCGATATTTCTCATCATTCTTAAATTCAATTCTACTTCTATTTTTGGGTTTTTTTTTTTTGCTAAGTACGTAATTTCTAACCTGTTTACTTTCACCCTCGATTGAGATGAGTTTCAAAGCTGAAGAAAGCAAACAATACTAAACTTGAAGATTTTGCGTACATGTTTTAATAATAGTTGTGTTGTGACACTCAGACGAAGCTTTCATTATCTTGGGAGCAAATGTATTATTTTGCATTTAATCTGGCGCTTTAGATTTGAGTACGATTAACAAAAGAAAAAGCATTATCAAAACTTACACGTTTTGTTTTCCTTCAGCTGAAATTGACATTCTTGCTGAGGGTTTGAAAGGGAAATGTTTCCCTTTGAAATTAAACAAACCATCTTTAATCTTGCTATTCTCGTATTACACCATTAGTGTAAATAACTCGCGTCGTTTATTTTCAGTTTTGGGAAGTAATTTCCGAGGAACATGGCGTCGATCCAACTGGCTCTTACAGCGGAGACTCGCAAACACAACTCGACAAGATAGACGTTTACTATAACGAGGCCACAGGTAAAAACGTACCAATTAAAAAACATAAAAAATTCAAAATCTCTTATATAAATTGAAGTAAAGATAATGTAAAATTCCTTTCGTTAAACCCCACCGTACTGAAATAAATCTTAGCTATGACAACAGAATTTTATGCGACTTTTGAAGGCTTACAAAGTCTAGACCATTTCTAATCTGTCCAATATAGGTTTTGGGTAAAAATCTGATTTTATGCTCTCATAGAATAGTTTGCTAATGATTCCATAGGATTTCCATTATCTCAGCTTTCAATCACTTTCAATTATTTATTCATAGTCACATTTTATATAAATTACCCCTGAAAAGAAAAGCATGCTTTTTGAAATTTTAAACGCCGGAAATTCATTTACTTTTCATGAATCATTTTCCACCTTTTTGCGCCTTGAAGGTGTACATAGCAGAGATATATTTCCCAGACTGTTTTCTCGGTGGATTTCTCTTTTCACATTACGCGATTTACGCGAAATCTTCGAAACAAAGAAAGAAGACATTCTGAATTTTTTTTTTTTTGGATGTGAAGAGACTCTTAAAGGTCAACTGTTGTTCCCTTTAGATTTAAAAATTTAGAAATTACGGCTGTATTTGTTTTTACAGAAATCTCTTTTTAAAGCCATAACATTCCCAAATGAACTTATTTCGCGAACATTAAAAATTTCATCGAAATATTACTGGTCGGTTCTTAATCATATCCTGTTTTTTTGTCAATTACTCCAAGCATTCTACATTAACATAGCAGGTGTCGGTCTTATATCAAAACGTATTCACTTTACAGGAGGAAAGTATGTCCCTCGAGCGGTTCTTGTTGACTTGGAGCCCGGCACAATGGATTCTGTACGGTCTGGAGTATATGGACAGCTCTTCCGACCTGACAATTTTGTTTTCGGTGGGGATTTTGTTTTCTATTAAAATTGTTTCACCGTCTGTAGGGCCTTATTATTTATTCAAACTATTTACAAGCCATCACATGTATCGTATTTTCTTTCTTCATACATGAATAGTTGAAATCGCTGAAGTTTTAATGAGAACTGAGAAAAATTCGTTGTCTCACCGCAAGAGATGAAAAATATGATGGTTCTTATATTTCGTAGTAATGGTGTTCGTCCGTGTGACAATATGTAAATTCGCGAAACCGTCGTAATACTACTCGTTCGAGATTAGTTTTGAGAATTTTCTCTTTCATCGAGATTTAGATTTGTTGCTGTAGACGAAATAAACGAAATTTGTTTGGTTGGAGTCCATCTTTCCATTTTTCCCAATTATCTTCCTAATGAAAAATAATCGTCCATGAAAATTTTAATAAAAGAGGGATAAGGAGTTAAAAAAAAAAGAAGGCCGCAAATACTCGGGGAGAAAATGAAGGTTTTTAGAGTTTTTGTTTCCTATTTTGTTTTGATTTTGCTGTCGTTGCTGTTTTTGTTACTCTCATTGTGTGCGTGTGTGTGTTTTTTTTTTTAATCATGTAAGGGTCACTTGAAACTTGTTCCCATTTTTCCGTAGGTCAAAGTGGCGCGGGAAACAATTGGGCCAAGGGTCATTATACAGAGGGGGCCGAGTTAGTGGACTCAGTTTTGGACGTGGTCCGCAAGGAGACTGAAAATTGTGACTGCGTTCAGGGCTTTCAGTTGACTCATTCCCTAGGAGGTGGTACTGGGTCCGGCATGGGTACATTGCTTATATCCAAGATACGCGAGGAATATCCGGACAGGATCATGAACTCATTCAGTGTGGTTCCCTCGCCGAAGGTAGGCGTAGTGTAATATTGTTTGGCCATTTTGAAGGAAAAGCTGAGCTTCCTACGCCAGGGGAAAGGCGCCAAGCCGGCCTATGGCAAGCGCTGAGCGAGCGGGTAAGGCAAAATGGCAAGTAAGCGGACGTGATGGTTGCAGTTGTCAGGCAAACGGCAGTGTTACAGCTATGGTTTGCATTTTTCTTCGCGCTGTCAATTATTTTTTTCTGCATACTCGGTTTTTTTCACCCGTTTCCAATGAATGAGAACCTGGAACAGAAGCAAACGTGCATGAAAGCTAAATGCTTAAATATCCGGGCATCCGCACTTGTTTGTGCTCGATGATCATGGGAATTTATTAAGCACTTGTCTTTATATTGCGCAAGATCGTGATAACGCTACCTGCAACCGATAATGTAATGAGAAACGAAAGTGTAACTACTGGTCAATATTAAAAGTCACAGGGTGACCTTCCATTGACCCCCTTAAATTAACCCTTTACAGATGAATTTGACGAACGACTTGATTATCATCATCAAGATATCGATTTGGATACGAACGTTCAAGTAACCTCTCTGTTTGTAGTTCATTCCATCGCCATAATCCGCTTTCAAGTTAACCAAATTTTATTGATGCAGCTGAAGAATTCTAGCAACAAAGGTGAATGCGATTCCTAATCTATGACCAGAAATATCTTGAACGTATCGGACTAAGCTGTCAATCTATCATAGATTTCTCACGCCTATCACGAACTAGCCTGCATGCACACAGTTTAACGAACCTGCATGCACATAGTTTAAAGACGCGAGATAGAGGGATACACCCGGTGTTATCTTATCTTTACCCATTTGGTTATGAGAATCCTGGCCACAGCATTAGCGGGAATTCTTTGATTTCACGCCTTTGGGTTCCCGGCAATTTTACTGTGATTTCATACTCTTGAATAATCTTAATGGTTCTTTTTTTTTTTTTTTCGCACTCTTGGGTTTCCTGTGTTCTTGCACTATTGTACTACTATGTTTCATTGTCTCATCCTTTTTCATCCTAATTTCGTCTCTTACTGTTTTCCCTATTCAGGTCTCTGACACAGTCGTGGAGCCGTATAACGCGACGCTGTCAGTGCATCAACTCGTTGAAAACACTGATGAAACCTACTGTATCGATAACGAGGCTCTGTATGACATCTGCTTCCGAACCCTTAGACTGTCCAATCCTACATACGGGGATTTGAACCATCTGGTGTCAGCGACAATGAGCGGTGTGACAACGTGTCTGCGGTTTCCTGGACAGGTTGGTTAGCGTTAATCATCAGAGAAGTGTGTTGTTGTGTTTCAAACTATGATAAAGAAAAAAGTAACTGGAAGCTACATGGAAATTTTCGAATTCGGCAATGCTCGAATTGGTATATAACAAGATAATCTACGCAATTTTAAAATATATTTTCGCTTTGCCTATTCTTTTTTTTTTTTTATTATTTTCGAACCGCCAATGTTTGTAGCAAGGAGAAGGGGAGACCAAACTGTATCTTCTACCATTGAGTAACAGAGATTTCTTTGGTAGTTTAAGCCACATCAGGAGCCCAATGGGCTCTCGGCCACATGCAATAGTGAGCTACATAAGATACTTGTCGGCATTATTCCTGGGACGCCAGATTCCTTCAAAACTGTAACACTTTTAGCTGAGACTCCCTTTATAAGGCTTTTGTGGGAGTACCCTTCCCTTGACTTAATCCTCAGTTGGTGGGGAGTAATAAAGATTTACCAGTGTCCACCAGGAATCATCTACGATACAAAATATAAAAATTTCTTATTTTGTACCACTTCCAGTTGAATGCTGATCTGAGGAAACTGGCGGTGAACATGGTCCCATTTCCCCGCCTTCACTTCTTCATGCCAGGGTTTGCACCGCTGACTAGTCGCGGCTCACAGCAGTACCGTGCTCTTACTGTACCAGAACTGACCCAGCAGATGTTCGACAATAAGAACATGATGGCTGCCTGTGATCCTAGGCATGGCCGTTATCTTACCGTAGCGGCAGTTTTCCGAGGCAAGATGTCTATGAAAGAAGTGGATGAACAAATGTTGAACGTCCAGAACAAGAACAGGTTTGTGAGGGAGCGCCATTCGTAATAAGAAATACCTTTTCTATTCCTGGAATTGCTCTCGGATTTTTGTGAACACTTGTCTAAGACGGTAGTTGATGTACAAATATCAACGACATGAGCTCTGGGGTAGGATAGCTTACCCTCAAAGTAGAGTGTATCTCTTCCCCCCTTGCGTACCGGCAAAGATCCGAAGAACCACGGAAACTTGACGAATTATTTGAGGAGGGGCTACCTGAAAAGATCCGCATTCCTCCAAATACTTTGTGCGACTGAAACATCGAGATAAACTACGACAAAAAAATGAAAAACTTAATCTTCCTTTGATCTGCGCTAACTTGGGAATATTTGGTGGAATATTTATATTTAAAAGATATTTATATAAATATATTTATATAAAGATATTTAACTCCTTGGTATCTTTTTTCCTTAGTTCCTACTTTGTTGAGTGGATTCCGAACAACGTGAAGACCGCTGTTTGTGATATTCCTCCTCGCGGGCTCAAGATGTCCTCCACGTTTATTGGCAACAGTACTGCGATTCAAGAGCTGTTCAAACGAATAGGAGAACAGTTTACAGCTATGTTCAGGCGCAAAGCTTTCTTGCATTGGTACACGGGGGAGGGGATGGACGAGATGGAATTTACTGAGGTGAGAGGATTTCTGAGGGGATGATTTCAAAAAAATAAAAAGAGAAAAAGTCCTTTACATGCGGAACTTGGATCAGAGAGCCGCTGGTGATAGATATCGAGAATAATCATGAATTTTATTAGTGTTTTTTTTGTTTTATTCTGTGATTGATCGAGCAAGCACCACATACCACGAGGTTAATAACATTTGAAGCGCTTGTGAAGTTTACAGACCAGTGAAATTACATGGGGATTGTTTTGGAACTAATTCTGTTTCAGTTTTAGCATAATTAGCATAATCTAACTTTTGAAAATTACAATTCTAAACATATCAATAGCATTAGGAAGTTTTTGTCACTGATGCGAATTGTGCACACGTAATACATTTGATTTAAATAATAAAATTGCTACCGGAAGTGACTGTGAGGCGATGTGGTAGCCGTGATCGTATAGTGGTTAGTACATTGCGTTGTGGCCGCAATAACCCAGGTTCGAATCCTGGTCACGGCACTCACAAAATATTTTCCTTTTTCTTTTTTTTTTCTTTTCCCTTTCTTTTTCGAATGGCTTTCTTTTCTTTCTTTTCTTTCATTTTCTGTTCATCTTGAAGAATTAACCTAAATAATTCCAATTTTGTCGTTTATGATCTGTTTTACTATTTTCTATTCCAATCCTGAATCGTTCCTTTTGGTTCATTCTAACCCCCTCTTTTTTCGTGTCCTAGCCATAGGAAATTATTAGTTCAATATTTCCTTTGATTAACGGTTCCCTAATCAACCTCCTCTCTCCATTTTCAGGCCGAGTCCAACATGAATGACCTGGTCTCTGAGTATCAGCAGTACCAGGACGCCACGGCTGAGGACGAAGGAGAATACGACGACGACGAAGGCGATGGCGAAGAGGAAGCCGACTAAATATCGATTCCGCGTCTATCTAAGTGACAACTAGGAGTTCCAATACGAGTTGACATGCTAAGACTTCTTTTAAATTTAAGCGGAAGAAATCACTATGTAGCACTTGTGAGTTCTGTTCGCCTTCGTCTAATGCTTCAATTAGTCTTTGGTTAAAAGATTGTCTATTCAAGAGATAAAGAGTCTTTGTTCAACTGGAATTCTTTTTATTGAACTTATCGTTGCTTTATGATCACTAACAAGTCCCCAACTTAAACTTAACTTTAAGTAACAAATTAATTCAGTGGCAAAATGACAAATGGCGTTTCAAGACTGGTAAAATCAACGCTTATCTCTAAAATTCGATTTTTTTAAATTTCGAAATTGCAACGGGAATCGTATTATATAGTAGAAGAGACTAATATATAGATGTTAGAAATAAATCTAGAATTTAACCTAACAAAGGTAGAGTCTCGTTTTTTAAACTGAATTTATCAGAACTAATACGAATATTATTTTTATACTTTTAATTGTTTTTATTCATGATTATTGATTGAAGGATTTAAATTGTTTCTTTGATCGGAAGTAGTTTTCTTTTGACTTCTCGAAGAAAAAAGATTAAGAGAATAAACGTTTGAAGTATTAGAAAGGTCCTTCTGAAGTCCATGTGTACGTTAAATTCTCGTCTAGGGTGGAGTGGAGAGAAATTGTGCCGCTAAGTAAGGAATGGTTCTAATTTGTTAGACAGTGCAGCTAAGGTGGAGATGGCGTGATTAATACAATTTTGTCTTCAACAGAGGGGCAAAATTAAATTATTTTGAATTAAACCTACCACACCATCCCCGCCTGATGACATCTTGGCCTGTTCCCTATAATCTCGTGAAACAGGCCCTTTTTTTTGTTTTGCACGTGCCTTTACCTTTTCATATTTTGCACGTGCTGAACTATGCAAATTAACAGCGCGCAGCTCGCTGCTGAAACAGAGAATATTCAGTGTTCAATTCCAGGATTAATTTCTTCAGGATCATTCTCAAACTCGGCGAAACTGGAGACGTCGCGCAGATGTAAGTAACTATCATTAATTTTTTCGGATATCATCCCGAGCGTCCCAGTATGGTCGCACATCATTAACACAAACAGTGAAGCCAACGGCGGTTTCAGACATTAACAAGTTACCTTTATTTTGAACTTCAATTTTATTCACATACCAAAAATGTACACAATATAATTTTATAAACTCTGAAGGGTGTGTATGGGTAGAAATTACAAATTTGTGTAACTAGACCCATTTATTTGACAGGTTGGAAACTCAAACAAATCTTTCCGGCTAGAGCTTTGCAAGGCGAAATTACTTCACTTTTGCATTTAAAGATCGTTCTGAGCAGCCCAAATAGGAAGTTACTATCATTAAATTATCTTTCTACAATACGATCACGAGTCATTTTCAACGATCCTAATTTCACCCAATACCATACACTTCGTACCACATTCGAGTTCATTCTTACAGTACAGTAATTTACATTTCTTGAAATCGTAAACTCTCAACCATGGTATACTTCGAAAGTCTCTTGCTTATATCTCTTGAGAGTTCACACACATTTAAAAGTATCTCTTACTTTTCCTTTCTGGAATCTGAAAGTCAATTTCATCTATATTTTAAATAACATTTAAAAATTGAAGACTGGTCGTATGTTGAACTGGTCGTATGTTGAACTTTCACTTAGCGAGTTGCGGCTGATACACGTCTGAGTGGCTGAGGGAGGGAATCAAGCACGCCTGCACAATCAACAATGATAAATTATGGCGGCTATAAGAAAAACCGTTTTTTTCTTGCCCAAGGAAAGCCCTTTATCTTCAACACCGCTTCGAAAAAAACAGAATTTAAATATTTCTGTTTGCAAGCAAATCTCTCGCAGCGGGATTTAGCCAATTTTTTTTTTTTTCATAGCAGTATCAAAAATGGCTTTTATATTCTGTCGATCGTGACTTTTAAATGTCTTAAATCATTGATGTATGAGATTCACGTTCTCTAAACACTTAACAAACGTAGTTCTCTGACTATATTAACTTATCGATAAACGTTCTTTCTATAGGGAAAATAATAACATTACTTTCACTGAAATGTTAAAAATATACTTCTGATTGAGCTGTATAAATACCGTTTGAGGGCCTATAAAGAAATTTAAAATAACTTAGTTTTTTGATAATGAGGATATCTATTTCAAAATAACGACATTGTACTGAAATCCTTTTTCTGTGATCCTATCGAAACTTAAAATACGAGAAATGAAACTAGTTTCCCCTGAGAATAGGAAATACGCCGGCCAAATTTTTTTCCTGACCAAACGATCGTGGATCCAGTTAAAACATACCATACAACACACGCTTACGTCATTATACAATATAACATTCGTTGATGACGTCATCGATTTCACACTTGTGTGGTTCGTTTGTCAAATGATGTTACCATCATGATACTTGACTTGCAGTCTGAAATTCGCCGCCGGAGGTTATTATTTTCCACTTCTAACGCATCTATAAAACGTGGATCTTCCCAATTAAGTTCTTTCTCGGCTTTCACTGCAAGACAACAAAACATGAATGTTAAGGTCACAGTTTTCCGAATCTAACTGCTCAGTTTAAGCAGCTCCAGCGAAAGACGAACTATTGAACTTAAGTCAGAAATGATCTTCTCTTCTTTGTTACAATACATGAAATGATTCAGTTTGTCTTGAAAGATCATAGCTAAAATAAAGGATAGAGAGACTTTCAAACGAGAGTTGACTTGACAAATGGTAAACACCACAGTGTACACTATTGAGTTATGGATGCACACGTTTGGTTGCTAAGCAAGAAAGAAGCGTAAGAGTCACGTGCGAGGCGATTGCCGAGAGCAACTGTAGCTTCTCGAGTGCCAAGCAAACCTACCAAGTGCATCCATAACCCCAATAGTGTACACTGTGGTGTCTACCATTTGTTTTATAACATAACATTAATATATTGGAACAAACGAGTTCCCTTTTATTTAACTCTGAAATCTTATCTGACCAGAAAAAACAAGCGCGTAGACACTAGTCTTTGCATTTGCTCACGTCAGCAGCATACACCCATGGGCAAATGATGGATACTGAATTGACCAATTTAAGCGCGTGCTTTACTTTGGTTGTGTTTTAAAGTAATCTGGGATTGCTTTGATTTCACTTTAATTCGTGCAGCGATTGCGTTAATTTTACATCCAATCAGATGCAAACTTAAATCAAGCGCAATTTGGTCACCCGAGTTTTCCTGCGCTTCGATCACCCGCATTTTCCCGCGCTTCAATCACCCACATTTTCCCGTGCTTCAATCACCCGCGTTTTTCCGCGCTTCAAGCAACATGCATGGTTTTGCTTTGAGTTCTTATTGGCTAATAATATTGTTGATATTTGTTCTGATTCACCCTTGAGAAAACTTTGGTTATGGTTTTCCGTCAATCAGTCGAAAACTACCCTATCCATACTAATTCTAAATTCTGGGCTAAGGAACTTTCGTTGCCAATTGACATAGCTAACAAAGACAGTTTCAGTTTATAATCGGCGGCATTTCCTAGAGCGTTAAAATGACCAATTTTTTAATTCTTATGACTTTTTTACTTGACCTAGTATTGAAGTTGCGAGAAGAAGTTAGCCCCTGTTTCATGTGAACACTTACGTCCAAAGCTCCATCTCTGGTTTTCGTCGAGCAATCGATTCTTGGCTGCCGAGAATTCTTCCTTTAAATTTCGTTGCCTCTGTCTCAGTGATGCAATGCGGGTTTTTCTCTGTTCAGAATCTTGCCACTGATAAATAAAAGGAAATATCTTAGAATAAATATATAAGATAAAGCTCAGAGAGAGATAAGTAACTGAAGACCCGATAGACGGCGAACAAACGAACGACGACGACCGCACGAGTAAACGATCGAACGGACACGAGCGAACGAGCGAATGATCGTTGACACGAACGAGTGAGCGAACTGATAATGACAGTATCATAAAAAGAAATGAATGGAGGAAAGTAGTGAGACCAACAAACTCAGTAAGATACGGAGAAAACAAATAATCTATACCTGAAAGTTTGGTTCCATAGCTTGCTGAACTTTTTCGATGTCGTCGACTTCATAAACCTTAATCTGAACTGGCTCCAAAGACTTCCTCGAAAACCAGCGCCTGGGAGAATATTTTCTTGTACTGGATCCTGGTGAGGCAGAACGACTTCTACCTAAATAGTTAAAGGAATATGGCGATGTTCGTGTCAGCAATTAAAGTTGCCCAAGTGTATAGGATTGCACTGCATTTTCTTAAAGGAATTAAACCTTTCAATAACTTTTTCAGGTCAAGCTCAACAGAATTTTTTAAATTTAGTATTCCAAAGTAATCCATTGGTTCTGTTTAACCATGTCCCGTGATAGGTCCTGAAAATTGACGCCAAAACCAATCTCAACTTGGTCACACGCGTCCTCCGCGGTTTAGGAAGTTGGCTATATTTGCCTTGAGTTTTCATTGGCTTCTTGTGACAATCAGCTTTGTCCTAATTTGGTGATGTGAAAAGTGTTTTATTTGGTTTCACGACAGTCATTCCGAGAGAGTGCTCAAGTGGATTCTGATATCCCGCAATAAATCCCTATCAGAAAACAATGAGAGAGCTCCCGACTACGTTTAAAAATGTCAAGATTTCTCATTTCATTCCATTACCAAGCAACCTTGGAGAATATAGCGAGGGCTTTGTTCTCACCTTTCCTTTTCCCGCGACTCAGACCTTTCTCACTACAACTGTCACTTGAGGCGTGACTTGCATCATTTCGCATGCTCTCGTAACCACTGCTGCTGGCTGCATCGGATCGAGAAGATACTGAGGGGAAATAAAAAAGGGAACGAAATAATTAGCCTCACCTCAACAAAGCTCGATTAAAATGTAAAAAGTTGTGGTGAAGTGGAACTAATAAATAGACAGTGTTAGAGAAAAAAATTTCAATGATATCTTTAATTTTGAGTCCCAAACTCGAAATGTTTTCAAAATTTTAAGACCCTCACACTTACACGACTTTAGTCTTTTCAGCGACCGACTTCGTCCGCGAGGTCCTGGGGAATCTCCGATGCTACTGTCACTAGCGTGACCGCTGCTGTAGCTACCACGGTCTCGTCTGAAAGTAAAAAGGGGCAACAATTAGAAATTTATTAATGATTTGTGATAATTATGATCTAAAGGTTTCGAAAGTTTTTAGTTGTTAAATGCTCATGAAAAAAAAAGGTTGAGAGTTGCTTCATTGTCAACCTTTTCATTTTCAAGCGTGACCACAGGGAATTTGTCCATAAACTTTTAACACCTCTTCAAGTAGAAAGACAGTATTTTATTAAACAACAAATTCTCAGAGCTATGACTAAGCTCAAACTGTATGGACAGTGTGGAGTATTGCCATTTAGATCTTGGGGGTGAGAGAGTTGATCGGGACACCGCGGAACATTTTTGATTAATGAAAAAAATTACGGCAATGTTTTGGTGTCGTTCCGCTACGCTTTGTGATGTTCCATTTCGGGTGTTTGTTTTTGTTTATTTTTTGAAACTGGCTCCAAATTCCCAACCAATCAGATTCAAAACTAAAATCTAGCAAAAATTGGCCATGCACGATTTCGCGCACTTGTGTTTTACCTCTTATTTATGACACTTGCCTTAACGCCTTGTCTAAAGCCTAAATACTTAAGTTATTGGTTCTCACCCGAAAAATTTGAACCTCCTTGTCTTTTCGTTCCTTTTTCCTAATGCAACAGGTGTTGAAGGCCCTGACGTTTCGTCCGCTGTCAGATCTCCAGTAGATACCACGGGCTCATTAGTTACCCAGACCACGTCTGTGCTTTCGGTTCTTGTGCTATTATTACCTTCCTCTGTGGTGGATGAAATCAGCGCTAGAGTTGATGCGTTTTGCGTTTCTGTACACGTCGTAAACGTAGCCACAAATTCTCCAGATAAGCGGTATTGACGGTTCGCTCCCACCTGAGTACCGTCTACGTTTTGCGTTTGCAACGCAGTTGCATCGTAGCCAGGTATCGTTGCTACGAACTCACCAGATAATCGGTAAACGATACGCGGTGGCGCGCAGCGGTCGTGGAAACGTGCGATGAATTTTTCTTGTGGTGCGTAGGGTGTCTCTGGCTGAAGAGGAATGCACTGTATGATCGGTCGCTCAACAGAAATAGAAATGGTGTTACTAGGGTTGGGAAGTAAGATATTAGAAGACTGATTGTCTTTGGTGGACGGCTCATCGGGTTTGTCAAATTCCGCGTCTGAAATCTCCGAGCCGCAATATGTGAGTTTTACAAAACTAGAGACAGAGCTGAAAGAGGTTCGGTCGCTTCGTCTAGTTGGACTGTTCCCTGCCTTGACAAAGTGCTCAACTCTGCCGCTATCTTTCCGGGAGAGTCTCTCAGTGGAAAAACAAGTTGAAACATCCTCGTTCTTCATGTCGCAATTCTCTATAACGCAAGGCCGTTCGAGGTCGCTGGTTTTGAGAAAATTGTTATTTTCGTCCTCGCTTCCAAGAAATGTAACGTTAGTTTTCACATTATCAACGGAGAATGATGAAAGTCTCGGGTTTGCCGGATCAAAATGTAATCTAGCGGCGCTTCGACCCGGCGTACACCACGGCTCTGTCTTTGCTGTCATGGAACTGTCACTCGACTCGTCCCCATCCTCTGCTTTGCCGCGATAAGGTGCGTTGTCGCTGTCATATTCTTTCTCGCCGTTATACCGCAACTTGGGACTGGAAATGAGTCGCGCAGTTTCTGTGCACGTACGTTTCTGCGGAACAAGAGGAGGTAGAAGCATATCGTTACCCGAAGTATCGCTCGAAGCCAGTGGAACGATACGTCGGTTCGGCTTTGTACGCGGTCGGCGATACTCGGGATGCCGAGAGGCTGCGTGAGCGTAGCGCGAAGAGAATTTCTCCCCTTCGCACTCTCTAAGTTGCTCGGCGACGAATTTTTGGAGAAGCGAACGAAGGTCTCCTTTGTTACTTGTGTTCGTTATATCTTTCATAGGAATGTTCTCTTTGTCTCCTTCCACATGAATGGTTGTATTTCCATCGTCGATTTCAACGCTGACGATGCTATAACTGCAACTGGCTCGCTTTTTTCTAAAATTCGTAGACGCCTGATTCAGATTGGACTCAACCGACGGAAATTCTGGTATCGGAGAAAGGGTTTTACTTTTAAAAGACTTCGACACTTGAAAATCTTCTAGTTCGTCTTCAGTGGAGGACGACTGGGGTGAAGGAACCAGGCGGTAGAACATTTTCATCGGCGTTCCGAACGTGTAACTACGAGTTGCATCGGTATCAGACTCCGCCGAACTTTCATCCGAACTTGGCCGATGGGTCATTTTTTGTGGGACGACTTTCTCGGCCGCAGGCTCTGCGCATATTTCGTTCACATCCCGCAAGCTTTCTTCGAGCTCCGGGAAAAGAACATCATTTTCATTTCCAGTGAAATTTCTTTCCAAATGTGGATCAACCTCGATATCAGATTCTTCCTCTTCGCAAAACGCCTCGGCTATGATCGCATCGTCGGCGAGTTGTTTTCCCCACTCAAGCTCGGTGTCGTCGTACGAGAAATCGTCGGAGCTTGCCTCTCGGGTCTCCTCGAGGACATAACACAGATCGGGCGTGTCCGAAACCGGCGAGTGAGGTTGGCAGTTTTCAATAAGCTCTGCAGTTGTCTCGCCACCTTCTTGGTTATCTTTATTCTCGAAATGATGCAAAACTTCGTCATCACAGTGATCTCGTTCAAAATCGAACGAAGTTGTGGAGACATTTGCAGTGTTAAAATCATAACGTGTGATGCCTTTCTGCCGAGACATTTCATAGTCGAACAAATCCTGTTCGGCATCGAGCGATTCCAGAGATTTTGAGTGGATTTCGTTCACAGCTTCGCAAGTTAGGAAGGAAAACGATGGCGCTTTCGCCATGACGATGCTCTCCCCGTCCGAAGATTCGCTTGAGGTCTCCGGACTCACAACACGCGTTCTTAGCTTGTCCTCCTCGCCTGGAAAGCTTTGCACCGGAATAACTACAGTGCTGTTACGAGAATTCATACTTTCATCAATGTCTAAGTTGGGACCCAATCCAGATGGTATAATTAGGGTGTCAAGAGCTGCGGCTGTTATTTCCTTCACAACAGGGTTGCTGTAAATGTCGCTTTCTTGCCTCTTACTTCTTTTTATTGATTCTTTGTTTGATGTCTCTGAAAGGCTGGAAGAACTTCCTTTGTTTTCTAGAAGTCTTTTGCGACTTGATGCCTGGGGTTCGGGTATGACTTCGATTTCGGTTTCATAAGACGATTCCTCTGTGTATTCTTCGCTAAATTCCCTCCCTTCTCCTTGCTCCCTCTCTGAAAATAGTTCTTCCTTCCCTCCGTCCCCGAAAAGGCTACTGCTATCCTCGCTTCCTTCGACTTCGCGTTTCAAGACAGTGTCTTCGTCCTTATCCTCCGCTTCTTCGTTCTCTATCGCTTCGAGTTTCCGCACCAGGGACCTTGTGCTACTGGAAACGCTTGATTTCCTAATTGAGAGCCTTGTTGGTGGGCCCTCGTTGTCTGTGAGGTCCCGGTCACTTATGGCCCCGTCGGGACCCACGTAAATCACAGTATCACACGACTCTTCACCCGTGCTCGAGTTGTAGTCGGAACTACCCGGCTCACCGATCGGGCAATCTTCGCGGAGTTTCTCGTTTAAAGCTGTGGTCCGAAGCCTAGGTTCGGCTGTCCGAAGTCTTGGTTTGCGGATTCGGGCCTCGTCGCAAGAACTTTCTCCGCCGGATGAGCTTGTACTCGATCCCTGAATAAAAGGCAATATAAATAAAAATTAGATTCATTAATAAATGAATAAATAAAGCAAAAGAAAAATCCACAACAAAGCTTAATGGCTCTTTTCAGATTTCTATCTAAGATAGAGTCAATTGCAAAATATCGTAAGTTCTTCGGGTAAAATTGTTTCCTTACAAATTCTAACTTTTATACGATCCCTGAAATTAGAAAAAACAACCCAAAACAAAACCAAAATTCGTCAGTAAAAAGATCAAGTTCTTTTGTTTAAAGAATCCTGTAGAAAAAATTGCAGTTAATTGGAAAATATCTTAAGTTTCTCCTTGTGAAATTTCTCCGATTAAGTGTTCACGTTCCTTTTGTTCATGAACTGATTCGTGGAAAGGACAAATTTGTAAATGTTTAGATGGAAAGCAGTTGACAACTTGTGGGTTTCAGAATTTTCAAAAAGTTCGAGTTCGAAAATAAAACAAAGAAAAGAACAGAGAGCCGTCATTTGATATGTTTTCTTTTGTACTATGTACAGTTTCATAGAGTTTTATTACTGTGAGTTGCACATGTGATAAAGATTATTATGTATTCTCCAATATGGTTCAGATTATCCTTGATGAGTCATAGATGTTCAAAGAATGAGATATTTTTCGCCATCCCTGTTCAAAAAAATGTTCTTTGGCGCATTACAAGCAACTTTCGGCTTTTTTCAAAGCTATTTTATAAATTAAAGTCGTTAGATCTTATCACCGAAGTACATGTTTTAGCTTGCAAGTGTTTCTACATGTGACCTAAATGTAGAACTTGCAGTTATTGTTTTAAGGGAAGAAACTGTGTCTGCTGAAAAGTGTTTTCACCAACAAACGACAGTATTAAACTGTTGTATAACTCATGCAGTTCTCAGCGTGGCTAAGAAATTTCTTCGATTTCTACACTGTTTAGAAACAACAGGGTATCGGAATTCACGCCGAGAATTAAGTGTTTCCTCGCCCCGGGGGTGAGCCAAAAAAAGAAAACAACTTTGATGTAAAACATATATTTAAGAAAAATTACATAAAAAGATTTAAAGGCATTGTAACGTCATAAGTTTGCTGAAAATGCAGAACAGTTTCGTTTAAAATTATTGTCAACTATGTTGAATTCTTTTCCACTTTTGGCTTAATGGATATATTGAATACTTGCTTCACAAAACGTTTTTAAATTTTCTCAACGGGACGTCTTGCACGCAAACATAATGCATCTGTGAAGAATGCGTTAGCACTGCATTTCATTTCAAACTCTTAAAATGGGTCTGCATTTGAGTTTCTTTAACGAATTTTGCGACATCTTACGACAATGGGCGAAGAAGGCGTTTTTCGCCGTACCCGCTCTTCAAGATTAGCAACAGTTTTATTCAAATCGTAATTGCTGAGATTTTAATCTCGTATCTTATCAGCGAGTTAGTAACCTTCAAGAGAAATCCAGTTATTTGCTGTCATTTGTCTTCTGTTCGGAGTTGACTAAATTTGGACGAGAATTCTAGGACAGTTCAAGAGGAACTAAAACGCTAGTTTTCAAGAGACGCGTTTTGCATATCGGCAAAAGCTTTACGAAAGTTTCCTTCTGTTTAAGGAGAAATACTTGATAAGATTATCGCATTAGCATGAAAGCTATTAAGAATTAAGAGGAACAAAGGCTTAATACTTTCCACGAATTTGCGACAGGTTGCCTAATTACAACCAATTTGAACTTAAAGTCGCTCCCATTTGCACTTACTGATTAAAATCTTTAAAATGTCTTAAACAAATCGCTTAAAGTATCTCTTTCTCTCGCTGCGTCGACGACTTAAGTTTGAAAAAAATTGAATGCAAGATTCAGTCAGATTTGAAGTCGTTGGTCCTGTTACTTCCTATCAAAGGAACGTAAACACAATTCCATTCATCTGGTATCCTTGGCTTTTCGTAATACTTATACAAATTTGTTAAATGTAACTCTATTGAAGTACAGATTTCGGTGTAGGTCTAAATTATACCAAAACAATGCACTACAGGAGAACAAACCACAAACAGCCGATCTGAGGGATTTTACAGTACGTTTGCGCCACAAAACCACATTTTTATGTAATGCAATAATGCATTAATTAGTTCAGCCAAAATTTTCTGAACAGAAAGTGAACAGATTTGTTTTTATTTCACGAAGAGAAGTCGAGTAATGACCGCTGCTATTATCAGTTATTCTAATCGAGTGGGCAACGTGCACATTTTGGATAAATGTGGCAAAATCTTTCTTCGGTGTAGCTAGAATAGTTTCTTTATGCACCTTAATTGTGCTAGAGAAATTGATGATTCTATTTATGTTTTATCATTCTCACCCTAAATTTCTTTTACTCACCAAAATTTGGCAGAAGACCTGAGAGTGTCACCCCAGTCGCGGTAAGATAATCACGAGAGACCGAGAATGCGTTGGATATCAATACACCGTGTTTGTTGGCAAATGCCTTTGAACCAATCACTTTAGCCGAAGGGAGGTATTTCACTTGAAAAGAACTTTTGAAGCATGGAGGAATTAATGAAAACGTCCCATAACTAGGAAAGAGATAACCTGTCTTTTGTTTTCGTCCTATTAAAGGCGAAATTAAGAGACCGCAAGAACCAATAAATGTAAAAAGAACGACAAATATTTTTATCGATTAAACACGACCTTTGGACAAGAACTCAATTGATTCCATCTTATCTCGTACGTGATTTAATGAGATTAAAAACATGTAAACAACTATGAAAAAATCAAAGTTCGAAAACACTCCTGTGTGTGTTTTTTATCAGCAACGTAGAGTAAATTAATGGTTTCAATTGAAGGATCAAAGATCGTGCGATGTTCAGAAGTTGTCGTGAAAACCTCGGTCAAAATTCGATAGTTCGTGATACCTCGCTAAGGCACAACGCTAACGCACAACGCTAACGCACAACGCTAACGCATCAACTTAACGGCCTGCTCCCGGTTGGCTTGTTAGCTCAATTGGTAGAGCGCTGCACTAGCATCGCAGAGGTCAGTGGTTCGAATCCCGTACAGGCCTGATTTTTTTCAGGTCTGATTTTTGCTATTGCATAAATAGCGCTATCTACTGCGAAGGATCGTGCATCATACATATGCACTGTATCTTGTACGAAATTAGTTTTTCGGCCGCTATTGCTGGGTTTATCTTATGAATCTACTATGTTCGGCAATTGCCGTTTCCTCTTCGGGCCCAAGTCGGAAAGTTTGTTTTCATTCTGCTATGACAATTAAATAAAGAGAGTTTATAATCTGATATAAAGAAGCCATAGATACCTTTCCCTTTCGCTTTCGCAGACGGTGAAGCCTGGTAGCTAGTTGCACAGTGGCCAAGGTTTCAGCATAGAATGGAAGCGAGGGTGACACATGCGCTATCATCGTCGTTCGACACGATGTGTTTCCGATAGACTCTTGGAGCATGCGTGTTATTTTGCTAGTCCTGTAAGGAAGAGACAGACGTGAGACATCAGTGACACGAAGAATAAGTCAAAAAATTCCAACGCCTATCAATTGCTCTTTTTCATATTGTTAACTCAAACATTTAAAAGTTATCAACGTGGTGCCAATATTCGAATACCCGACATTCTTCAGATGAAATTGCGAGAAATCACATGACCTGCTCAGTGTAAAGTGATAGGTTCACTGCACCTGTGTGGCACGTGCTTGGCGCCATTTATAAGAGAAATGATGACGTTTCCCAGCCCCGACAGCGACATGCTGCTAGCACCTCCATCTTTCTTGGACCCAGTGTACCCTTCGCAGCTGGCGAGATCGATCAAATGTAGCCGGGAGCGCCCCCCGTGAACTGGGGACAGGAAGAAAAGAACACACCTGTCAGTGAAGGTACGTACACGGAAGAAACGGAAGTCCATGAAGGTACCTCCGCAATTTTAAGTATGCGCGCCTTGGAGCATGTAAAAAAAGAAAAAAAAAACTCTCTTGATAAATAGTAAGTAAGAAAGAATCTTTAGATAGTAATGAGTCCGAGTGGACTAAATGAGTACCAACTAAATAGGATCCAAAAATTCAACATACAATAGTTAAAACACTTCAGATTTGTTTTTAATTAGTTAATCTGCAAAGCTTACAGAAATAACTGTCTTTTTTTTAAATTTTTTTTTTAATGGTCCAATATTCCACTTTTGACCGTAAGAACGGTGCGCAAGTCTCATAGTGTCTTTGCCTCTGAATATATTACTAACACATGGTAGCACAATCCGCCATTATATTTAAAAAACGGATGATGATGTATGCGCATAGGAAGGACGAGTTGATTACTTACCTCCCCCAACATTCTTAGAATTTTCTTCGACACGCTACTGGTAAATATGTACAGTGAAAAACATGTGAGAATTCATGCTTTCTTCCCATTCTGTATTTTCTCCTGAAAAAGAAAGAGAGGGTTGTAAGCAAAAATGGTAAAAATATCAAAACGCTGGCCCTAGTGGAGGGCGTTAAATGCAATTGTGAACTTCATACTGTGCCCATGGTAAATTTCTCAGAGTATCACGGCCAGTGTTTCCTACCCTCAGGTTTGTTGTTTACTGGTCTGGTTCTCGAGGCCAGAGCCGCATCCAGATAATAAGCTGCTTTTTCAGCAGAAGCTACCCGAAGCTCGGTAGGGTTAATTTCCTGCAAGGATAGGAAAAGCAAGACTTTTGTCAGTAAAGTATTGCCTTCCTTCACAAACCTCGAAGGAAATATATTAAGAATTTCTTAGGCGAATAACCTATTACTCGAAATTTGTTTTTTCACGTTGATCTCGTGAGAACAAGTTGACTTTGACGTGAATTCTTTGCAAAGGCTTTCTCTTTCTCGATCGCTTTAACGTTAGAATTTCTCAGCATCATTTGAAACATTGACCGGCAGGGAAACATTTGTCTGTGTTAAAGATATTTTGTAATTATTACCTGAGCTCCACCATTGCGATCTTCACGAAGGAACACGCTGGGACTTGGGTCCACGGAGCCATTTTCTGATCCTACAAAACATTAGAATAAGGAGAATGTGGGGGTCATCGTCAGCATTATCATCATCATCATCATTATCGCTATCACCATTGTTTTTATTGACGTCCACCTCGTCGTCACCGTTATCACAATAAACCACGAACAAAAGTCAGTCTCTCATTGTTATTAAGATTAAACTTGCATTACCTGTTGCTTGTTCTGTGAGCAAATCCCGAACGGTTTCCGAGCGACCGACGATCTCCACTGCTGAGACACGAACAGAAAATCTCGTCCCAGTTCTGCAAAACAAGGAAATACAACATATCTGCCATGTTTTCCTTGATAATTCTCCTTTCTAGCCGCTGTGCATTTGTTTGTGAATGATATTCAGCAAATTCGGTGTTATAAAAACATAACACGGTCTAGTTGATAGATTTATTGCTCTCATAACGAGGCTGTAGGACTAGTATAGTAAACTGACATTGCAAGGGGAAGTTGTAGGTGAATCGCTTATGGAAGCAGTGGGTTCAAAAGCTATTGATTCAAAAGTTCCTGATTTAAATATACTTTTAAGAAAATCACAACGACATCTTACTTCTGTTTCTGCTCGCTAATCAGTCTGAATAACCACGACAGAGCGCAAGGGATCAGCCCCAAAGTTTGCTCCTTCTCATCACGTCCAACCATAGTGTTAGTTTTACCTGAAAGAGAGAGCCAGAAATAAATAATAGCTAAAGTGGCTTTATTTTCAATTTTCTGAATACTTTAAAGGCACACCTACCTAATCCAGCGTGACCGTACGAAAACAAACAGCCCTCAGAGCCACCAACGACAGCTTGAAGAACATCTACCAGAGAGCCTGAACATACTTCAACCTGGGAAACAAAAAAAAAATTACATCATGGTTTCGAGTGATTCAAAGACGATATTGTTGTTCTTACTTTACTTTTGAGATTATCTGTTTATCATATTGTGCAAGATGGTTCAACTTTTATTATAACCTAAATCACGTAAAGCGCATGCTCGGAACGTTCAATTCATTGTCTAAAATTTGCCCKTGGATGTATGCTGTTGACACGAGCAAATGTTTTCTAGTAAACAAATGTTTCGCAAGAAAGTGTTTTCCATCTTATAAAACAAATGGTAATCGCCTCGAGCGACTCTTACGCTTCTTCTGTGCTTAGAAACCTCCCGCGTGCATCCATAACTCAATAATGTACGCTGTAGTGTTAACCATTTGTTAAATTCTGTAAATGAAACTCAAGGGTGTGTCTATTCATATGAAAACTATCGAGATGATTTTGCAATATTTTGTTTACTGTACTACTCAACGTCGATCTAACGTCCATGTTGGCGAATGAGTCGTGTGTTGTGTAACAATCCAGAATCCTCCACCCACCTGAGTGCAGTCCGACTCAAAGATCGAATCAAATGCAAACATCTTTGGAGCAGCCACACCCATTTTCCTGTGCGTTTGTGACACGTGACCTACTGTACTCGGATCATACAGTGTGACTTGTTTTCGTTTCTGATCCACTTTCATAAAGGACCCAGTCTCTCCAGGAAACGATGGACAGATTCGTAGCATCACTTTGACCTACAGAGGAGAATTGGAGTTTGTAGGAAAGTGAAAATTTTTTTAATCTCCGCGGTCATGGCCTCTCCGACGAGTGAAACTAATACACTTACCTTTCCATCCGTTCTCTTGGTATGCATCTTAAGCAGGCCAGGTGGCACAGCTGGACTTGATATTCGAAGCACTTCCTTGTAGTTAGAAGGAAAGGGGTATGGTTGAACCTCCTTGTGCGCATGCCTTGACGGGGTCAGTTGGACCACAGGGGTGGGGTGGTACGGTAGCGCTTCTTGTTTGTGGCTTTGACCCTTTTTGTGCTTCTTTTTCGAAGACAGTAACTTTTGAGCAGCTCTGGATTGATTAACAAATGTTCATGTAAGTCAGAAATGATTGACAAGCAACTTCTCGTCACAATTTCAATACTTCGTCAAAGGAAGTATTGAAAGGACTGAGAAAGAAGAACCTTATTCGTAAGATGATTTTGTCTTGATCAATATTATAAGCTGGATTATACACGTATTTTGATTGGTTGTTACTTAAGATCTGTTGGAGATAGACGCATAGATGACGTGACCATCAAGATAAGTTTACCTCTTTCTCATATGAAACAAATAGATTCCATGTTGCTGTGGGTTTGTCCAGTGATAGGTAGATCACAGAAGAAGTCAAAATGTGGTAAGTAGGTTAGTGACACCTTCAGTTGCGCCTCGGGTGCCACTCTTTCGTCCTTACCAGAACAGAAACACGTTAACATGGAATTTATTTGTTAAATAAGACCAAACTCATTTAAACCGGCTCGCCATTACATTGGAAGAGATACCAAGTAGGTAGTGAGAGTGAAAGGCTAACGCTCCAAGGTACAAAATACAAAGCAGCCAAGCCCGCGTTTACAAACATTTTTCTTAGGCAGACACCTTCACATATCACGGTATCATTTTCCATTCTCGACCAAAACCGTGAAAAATTAAACTTAAATTGCTTTATTGAACGTGCTTTTGGCACAGAACTATCATAATGAATGGCATCTGTCATTCAAAGTAAAATAAAACATTCCAAAACGTTTTTTTGTGGGGAGACGTCAGTCGCAAGTGGCGTCGTTTGAATGGGATTAATTCGGAATGCCATCTGGAATAAAGTGCAGATACCCAAGTATTCAATGATTATTAGCAAAATCATAATAATTGGATTTGTGCTGTTGACAGAAGACTGTGGTAAAACCCACAACGCGTTTCAAGGGATCTGATTGCTTCCGATTTATTGTGCTATTATCTTCTTAAGCTTAATTAATCCCTAATGCAGATTTGATTTTTGTTAATTTAAAGGTGTAAGGAAAGTGAAACGCGAGAGCTTTGCGAAATAAAAGAAAGAAAAAAAAAACAAAACCAAAAGGTTAAAGAAGCACTAGATCAACCGTGCGGATTACAAATGACCCCCGTAGAAAGTTTACGACAAAGTTTTCGACTTGAAGGGACTTAATTCCCCAAATATCCTTGCAACAAATTCTTCATGGGCATCGTAGCTCAGTTTATAGTAATTGAAAGGCACAGGTTTTAAAGCTTGTTGAAGCCTTCAATTTTCTCCAGCGTTTTTTTCTTGCAACTTTTTAATTTGCTGTATACGCCCGTGAATTGTAGTTTCTATAAATAGAAGCAGAAGGCGCCAATAGGTCAAGAAGTAAGTTGCGTTCTTTCGAGAACCCTACAAAACCTCTACGTGAATCCGGTTACGAAACGATTGAAAGACGAATCTAGCCAACAGAAAGACAGTCCCTGGATGGAATTTCGTAATTCATTACAATTCACCAATCTTAGGTAGCCCTACAAATGATTTTTCATGCTAAATTCATTTATCACTTCTTTGAAGCTATTAGCAGAATAAACACTCTCAATAAAGCAAAAAAAAACCACTGTAAACTCATAACCCCTTTTAAGTGACTAGCATCTAATTTCTCCTTACAATATCACCACTGAATCACATATTTAGGTCATGAGAATAAAGAAAATGATCACCACTCAGAGAAGCTCTAGGTTTTAAACCAAATTCTCCTTGTCAACATCTTGGAAAATCCAAAGGAAACAGTATGGAGAATATGCATGCATAGCGAAGCAAGGGTGCCAACCTGACGAGTATGCGTCATAATGCAAACATTTCTACGTCAATCAACAGAACACTGAAGAGATTAAAGATTTAGTTATACAGGAAAACGCAGTGATTAGCTGAAGGAAACCCTTCATTACACCACAAAGGAATGGCATGAGAGTTGAAAAGAGTTTCGACATAGAGAAAGTAAATATTTGGAAACGATTAAACAAGATTTAAAACTGTGATATTCTTAGAACGACGAACAAAGGTTTCGATTTCGCACGTCAGAATAACTTGAACGTAATCAGCAAGGTGAATTCGCTTAATTAGACCGTGTCCAGTTTGAAGAGTTTATGAGGAAAAGTAAAACTCCTTTTGCGTCGCATTAGCACTGTGGAAACGTGGTGCATCTCATGACTGATAGGTTGTTAAAAAGTTTAGTTTTCCTAAATGTAGTAAATTTTGTAAAAGCGTCTTGTTTTTCTTTACACCCTGCCGCCCAAAAAGTATACGACGATGTGTTACAGATTTTCAGAAAAGGGAAGCAAAGGAAATGTTTTTAATTCTATGCCTGAATAGCGACAGACTACCTCGAGGACATATTCTGCAAAAACTTCGGATAAGTTGCGTTAAACTCCACCGACAGATGTGCAATAAGCAAGGATTGAAGTTTTAAATTAATCAAACTAGTAAAGGTTGGATAGAAAATCTAGGATGCTTCTCAAACGACGCATGTAATGTGAGGTAAAAAAGACATGGGTAATGACTCTGATATCAACATATTGATTGGACCTGCCTTAAAAATAAACGCCACTCGCGCTTAACCATGTGATGACCAGGCGCGCGATACCGAAAGTTATCAAACCCTCCGTAATGAAATACACAAAGTAAGCTACCTGAGTCTTCTTAGGACCAATTCTTGTTTCGAAGTTAATGCCTTACGAGTGGATAAACAGGTTAAACTCAGAGGTAACATTTCTGCAAAGTTGTACCCACGCTTACTTCGCACTACGTCCATTGCGGCAACGTGGAAGCGGAAGAGTGCCGTCCAAAGAATCTAGAGTGCAGTTGAAATTTGGTTTTCCGCATCCTGTGAGGTTGTCACAGGACGGATGCAATAAAATTCACTGACAATTTGTTTACTCAACAATACAAAGAAGCAATGACAAAAACACAACACAGGCGGGTTTTGTAGGCGGGACATGCTGATTCTCGTTGACTTTGAGAGAAATGTCAACTGACATTTTATATATAACAGAAGACACTGAGTAGGATGCATTCCATCAACTTTAATTTTGAAGTGAATGGCTTTCAAACAAACTTATCCAGCTTACGTTTTTTCCAACCCATGGAGGTGCGGCTGCATCGTAAAAAGATACTTTTTTGGCGTGCAAAAGATTTTCGTGTTTTGATTGAAGAAGTCTCAAAGCGTTTCAGATTCCTTTGGTCGAGACCCACTAAGTGCTGTGACTTCTCTCTTACCACACTCGATGAAAGAGTTGCTACAAGTGTGAAAGGTATTTGTTGTTTTTCCGGAAACATTTTCATCCAAATAACTTCTTTTAACTAAAAATATCATGTGTGCAGACTTTTCTTTCTTTTAGCCATCTTTCTCTTTTGTTTAGTAAATTTTGTTTTGTTTAATCGGAGGTTTCTGCTTACACTATAAACATCAGATTTAGCCAGACAACCCTCTCTGGAATCTTAAACAAGACACTTTGACGCAGGCGCTTTAAGAAAATGCAGTCCTACTAAAGCACGACTTTGTTTCAACGCACTCTTTGAGCTACAGTATTAGCAAATTTACTCTAAACTGTCAAAGACAGGTTTCCTTTCTCAAGCTTGTTTGTACAAAGAGCTAAAATCACGCGATTTGTTTATTATTCTAACCTTAAGGATTAGTGTGGTTGATAAAACTATTTACAAACTTAACCAGAAAAAATTCTTTATAATGCTTTACGACACATTCATTTCCGCTTAAACAGGTCAAAATTTGACAAGCCCTCCACTAGCAAAGAGGTTTTAAAAATCTCTATGAGTGTGATTACAGAATGACTAAAGATAATGTCTTATTTATTTGGCCAAGGGACAATACTTCATTCACGAAATTTAGCACTTTGTTGAAGAAAAACCTCTCAATGGTAAAGTCAAGCTGACAATTTGAACAACTGCTAAGTAATTCTCTTTCAAAGGCCAAGGGAGCGCTCAGCATGTTATACGATAGCTTTCGATTTTATCAGAGCACATTTCGATTAAGCGTCGTAAAACCAAAGTAATTTATAAATTTTGCGCGGAAAATTAGCGCGCGGCCAACAAAAATTAATTCCAATGCGCATGCCCGACGTTTGAATGCTGTGTTGACGCAGGTGATCAAGTCACTCCTGGTGAGCCTCAACAGCTAAGAAGGTGGCGCGGTTAAGCCAATGGCAGAGCTTGCTAAAGTAAAACCAAAGAAATTCTGCTTAAAGTGCTACTGAAACGAAATTTTCGTATCTGAAATATTTGCTCTAACCTGTAGTTTTGAATATGCTGATCATCATGAGATAATTTGCTTTGGCCAAAAAGAAGCGAAAGACATCTTTTTTAACCGTTCAAATCAAAAATTTTACACAAAACCATGTCCGGGCCCTGGTACCGAGCGAAATGGATTGATGACGTCACTGGTTGTGTTCACTCTGATAGCGTGGTTTATTTCACTCACTGTTTGTTTGTATTCGTGGGCGAAGGAGATGGCAGAAATTGAAGTTTTGTCAAGTGAATCTTCTTCTGAACGAAGCGAAGTTGTCTCCAGTAGCGAAGACGAAGATGGTGGCGTAAAATGGGGTTGACAGGCCTACACGAATCCCAAGCGTGTGTTTTGGGTAGCGTATTCAAAGTTTAGCCCTCACGAGTATGTCTTTGAGCGACCGCCCTCTTTTGTAAGATACGAGCGGCGGATTTTTGTATAGTTCGCTCAGTAGTGGTTGTGTTTCTATTAAATGCCAGTTTTTCATGAGAATTTGCTTTATATGTGGCACTGAGTACGCACATAAGGGATTGCGTCTTTTTCGAATCGTTCGCCTTTGTAGATGTACAGCTATTTTTTTGACTGTCTCGATCGTTAAGTTGTCTTGATTGCTTTCAGCTTGCGTCACGCGCGCTGATTCGATCGTACTACAGTTCTTAGTGTTCAGTGTTCCAGCCGTTTTGGTTCGTTTTCTTTTCTTTATTTCGGTATTAAAACGACCGATTTCACGTTCATAGAAGCTCATGATCGCCTTTACTGTTTCTTGCTCCGCGTGGTTAAGGATTTGCTTTATCTCAATTTTGAAATCCTCGTCTGCTCATATTTTGGCCCTCGCCCTATATTGTAGGGATTCTGGGCATGTTCTGCGAGGCATTTGGTACAGAGGGATATGGGCTCTGTCCTGGTGTACCGGTTCACAAGGGAATTACCATTGTTCTTTCTTTGTTTGGGAGTCATTGGTTAGCTGTTGTGTATTGTTCTTTCTTTGTTTAGAGTCATTGGTTAGCTGTTGTGTATTGTTCGGTGTTTTGTATCGGCTCTTGTGAACCGAGGTACCCGAGGACAGAACCGGGATTTGTTCGTTATCCTCAGACTTGCCGAGTAGATCATTTTCAGTGGCGGTGTCGTATGAGGCTTCCATGTTTTCTTCATTCTCTGAATGCCATTGCTTTGGCTCGGGGCGTTTAGTAGCCCATCTACCCTTATAATGTCTTTCGACATTTTCTGTAGATGGTCAAGCAAGACCACGGTTTCGATCCTAATCTTGTGGATCTCGTCAGTTTCCGATTAACTAAGTAGACTGGTAGAGATTCGTTCTCGGTATCAGTCGGGAATTTTGCTCCCTCTCCGGGCGAACCTCTCGCAGATAGCCAAGATGCCGATGTGGCCGCCGATGAATAAGACGAGGGTGGCATTTCGCCCGAAATCCTCTTTATCGGCCTCCCAACATGCAAGCCACACTCCATGCTTTTACCCTTCTTTCACTGAAGTACACAACCAGTGACGTCACAGGGCTGTTTTGGCCGCGCCAAGATGGCCGCCAAGTTTGATCTCAGCCGGTCAACTTCGAATGGTTAAAAATGTACTTTCCGCTATGCGTTGGCCCAAAAAAAGTACACAGCGTTTGCAAATAACGTTCAAACTCTATTACATTGCAAAAATCTCGGATATGAAAATTACGTTTCAGTAGCACTTTAATTACAAATATATACCACGAGGTCTATGCTACATGTTTATAAAACGCATGACCCACCTTGACAAAAACGAAGAACTGATGGTCGCTTCCTCCGTCTTCACGTACATCGTGCCACTCCGATCGTTCGTTTCCATGGCGACCCCAGCTTGAAGACGCTGCTTGTCCGCCCGTCTTATGAGCTGGTCAGCGTTTGGTCCCACCATATATCCGGGAATGTTGTAATAAGCGAGAAACTGAGATTCCTCCAGAGTGTGTACCATGGCGACTGCTTCTCTTTTAAGTTGGTTCAAGTCTGTGGCGCAAACTTCACATTGATCGTTTTTCCATGACTTCATCTGAGTCTCTGGAATTCGGATCTGGTCGAAGATTCTTGCAGAAAGAGAGCCCTGTAGTGTAATCAGGATGAAGGATTCTAAGTGATTTTACAAGAAGTACACTAAGTTGTAGACCCTAGAATCACAAATTTTAATCGATGGCTTAATCACACCTTAACATCAGTATGCATATTCTCCATACTGTTCTCTATACATTTCTTACAAGGAGAATTTGTTTGACAATCAAGAGCTTCTTTAGTTAGGGACCATTTTCTTTATTCTCGTGGCCTTAATTTGTGATACTGTAAAGGGAAATCGCGTGCTAGGTACTCTGCGGGGTCAATGGGCTAAAACAAACTGTAACCGATGGAAAATAATATCCACGGGCTCGAGAGAGACCGGAGGGGATACCCAAGTCCCGTGTTCCCATCACACTTCATCGCTTATCCTCCACATCCAGTCATGATATTCTCTCCTAATTCCCCGTCTCGGCTGTGCTATTTTGGTTTGATTCATCGTTCGGGCCATATTACATCTCTCGAGTTCTCCGTATCGGCTAAGATACATCACCTAAATTCCCTGTACGGGCCGTGGTACATCTCTCGAGTTCCTTGTCTCGGCCAGTATACATATCCTAAATGACACGTTTAGGCCATGATGTATTCCCCCCAGTTCCCCGGCCTGTCTCGGCTACGCTTCATTCTCCGAGTTTCCTTATGGGCCATTCCACACTCCCCCACCCTCACCCCGACTGAGAAATCCCTGTCCCTATCTTTTATAAGTAGCATCCATTTGGATACTGTGAGCTAAAGAACACTCCTTGCTAAAGAATACTCCTTGCGGGAAAGACTGTCTACCAAGTTAGCAATTCAACCTCTAGCCTTTCTCCTCCAGGGTTTAGATGCAAACTCTCTCTTGTGATAACGAAATATTTCATCGTTGACGAGCTGTAAGAATGAACTAATGTTGCATCGTGTTATATCACCATTTTCGACACTTATCTGCTTGGCAGAGCCTTAACATCCTACGTAAAACTTACAAACTTGTCTTTCCTGCGAGTCAAATGGTTGGCAAAGTTACCAAGCGCCTTGGCGAACAATCAGTGCCGTATGATTTTTCCTGTTTTGGCCTCGTGACATGCATTTTAAGCAGCTGCCCAAGGAACGTAACTTACAACCTCCTTAAAAGCAATCTTCCGTAAAAGCTTTTAGCAGTATAATCACATTTAATGCACCCTGGGTAGCTAACATCTTCCGCTCCCTGAATAGAAATTGCCAAAGGTTTCTATTTTTCGCTTAGTTCTCCGCACTAAAGACTTGCATCGTCATGGCGTTCAATTAACATCGAACTACGTCAATGTGATGCAAGTGGAAAACTATGATCATGAGTTTCTTAGCTATCCTCTTCGAAATTGCTTGTGAAATTGTTAGTTTTAAACTTGGCAGATAGGTTAAAGAATGTTTTTTGCTTTTACTGGTTTTACTCAGAAAATGAACTCAAAATGCTAGCGATACAAGTCGTCTATAAGATTCGTAACATTAGTTGCTGCATAAGTTCATTCCGGAAATGGTTGTGAAATTACTCACTACAAGCTTTTCAAAATGCTTAATCATGGCATTCTGCATTTATTGGTATTCCGTAAGAAAGTATTACTCAAAATGCTTAATCAGGGCATTCTGCATTTATTGGTATTCCGTGAGAAAGTAGTACTCAAAATGCTTAATCATGGCATTCTGCATTTATTGGTATTTCGTAAGAAAGTATCATTTGTAAAAGCTAGCGTTGAAAAATTAGTGTTTTACAATTACATCAGTTCCCGCGATGTTTTTTTTTTTCAATCATGATTCTCATGTCAGAATATATCAATTCAAGTTAATTGTCTTTTTCGCTGGTAATTTGGTAACTGTATAAATTTGTTAACAGAATTTGAAAATGAGCTGGACCAAGAATCTAATACAAATATGTTGCCATTGAGTGGTGTATCGATCAATATTTCATCTTCACTTTAGACTTCAAAGGAAACTTTGGAAATAAAATGCATCGCTTTCCTCATTCACATTGTTCTGAACGACTTTATGTGCTGCTGAAATTGTGCTCTTGAGGTGGTCAATCAGGATACAGTTCTGTATTTTAGACTACCCCAAACGCTGGAGACATGAAACGCCTGTTCAAACTCGAACAACGAACAACGAACAAGTTTAGAGCTGATTTCAAAAATACCTTCGATTACTTAAGCTGGCGCTGTTGTCTACAACAACATAAATGCAAATAAATCTATACTGCAAAACAAAAAAAGTCTTTAAAATTTAGAAGTGGATAATTGATAAAGGCGGGAAGGTAAAGTTATTGATGACAAGCGAAGCTATTCAACCTGAAATCAACTTTCCATTCGAAAAATTCGTCATAACCCAATGTTTTATCTGACACTGAAATTTATCGAATGGGAATGTGATATCGATGGGGTAGGAATCGGTATTGCACGCTCTGAAAGGCAATATCAAATGATGTATTTCAGGCACAGAGTATGTTATTTTCGTCAGCAACATCGCGTGACATTACAAACGAGTAGGCTAATATAATTGGTTTGTGTGGATACAACTGTTATGGTTTCGCTTCAAACCGGAAATAACAGGACGAAAGTTCAAGCGAGAGAAGTGTGCAAAAAACATCAATCATGCGTATAGATGACAATATAGTATGGAGCTCTACATTTCGAAACTTGCACATTCCTTCGGTAAAAAAAGCCATGAGTATTGGAAGCTTTTTCAAGGACCTTTTTTTGCACCATCCAGGCTCAATATCAAATTGAAAACTCTTTAGCAGTTGTTTAAAAAATGCATTTTGGCGAGGGCAAAGTTTTTCAATTTTTTTGTACTCTTGTAAAGCAATTTTTAAGTTAGTGAAAGTCAAACCTCTTTGAATCCAAAGCGAAAGCTCGGAAAGTTTCTGCGTTGGTGCATACTTCAGCTTTGAACATTTCTACTTTCACAAACCTTAAAAATTAATTATTCGAATATCAACTTACAAAAAAAAAAGAGAAGACCAGTCCGGTTTCACATCTACATACGTCTGTTTCGATAATTTTCTGTCGAAGAATATATTCGAGTGTGTCATTCACAGACTTATAATATTAAAATCACCCTGTATAAAGCAATAAAGAGTACCGCTCAAAAGTAATGCTTTCATCAAAACTTTGTAACACCCGATTATTAGAACCACTTTCAGCGCAGCATAAGAAATTGCTGTTAAGTTAATACCTAAATATGGTAAAACATTGGATCTTGAATCTTTACCACCAAGATCTGAGACCACAGCTGAAAATAAATTGATATTTAACCATTGTAACATTTCAAATCTTTAGATTCGAACTGGCATGCAGTTAAACGACATAAAACACGAACTCACTCTTCACTTTTACAGCGAACATTTTGCAGGTATTCAAAGCATCATGCTTTTGTTTCGCCCAAGTTACAACATACCAGAGCTACTTAAGGCTATGATAGCACTGGGGAAAAAAAGTTCAATATACTAAGATTTTTCTTGGACATACCTTTTTCCATTTTCGACTTCTACCTATTTGTGAAATCCCAATGCGCTCCATGTCCTAAAAAGTTATAAAGATACTAAGATTGATGCGTCGTACGTTTTTGTACCCACGTTTTAGTACGTACGCCTCACGGCGCGCTTATACATCCAGTGATCTTCATGCTCTATTTAACAGCGAAGCAATGAATCGCTTTATTCAAGTACTAATGTCATACAAAGTAAATTAATCACCTTTTTTCAACGGGGTGTCAAAGAACTACTTTGTCTATTAAATTAAGGGCGACCTGACTCAAATCCTACTACGTGCCATAGACAACGCTGGCACGACGCTCCGCCTTTTTAGCATCAGGAAACATCGATGTGCTTTGTAAACTTTCCGGGTTCAGTCTTTGAAGCTCAGATATGGATTGTGGGCGTGTTTAAACATCCCACCACTTCATTGACTGATCTAAACATTTATAGATGACGTAAATAAAGAAAACTGCTTTTGTATGTGAAAAGTAAGACAATTCCCTTGAAGGGACCTGGTGCCAGAATATTCCCTGATGCACATCACACGTGCAGATTTAACAGTTTACGGTGACCAAAAAATAATATTTTGCTGTCTTAGCTTTATCTCCATTTTATGGCCGTGTACTTATAGAAGTATCTCCTTGGCTTAGGTGACAAAAGAATTCTCCAGAAGTGAGGTTTTTCTTCGTTTTAGGTAACCGGAATCGTCTCGAACTGGGTATTATGTGTTCCAACGTCACACTCTAAGTTAGGATGTTTACCAAACGACGTTTTCTTTCGTTGTTTGTAAACATGAACTCGCTCTTCCGAGATTTCACGTAAAAACCGCAGCCTCAACGCGACTATAGCTTTATTTCCGTTCCTTTATTCGCTTAGACACAAAAAAATGTCGTCAAAGTGCAGCCGCCAACGAAAAAGTTGCGAAACGTACTCGAGCGTAGACAATACACCGTTTTATATAAACAAGCACGCGTTCAAATAAAACGCTTTACACATTAAGTAAATCTACCTCTAAACAAGCCTTAGACATAAACATGAGAGGGAATGCTTCCTTTTTGAGTTGCTAGTAAATTTGATTTAAAACATAACAAGTTACCTGAGTTGAAGGGGTCACTTAGTAAAGTTCTCGCCCAATCTAGATGACTAAATAAAATTCACGTATTGCATAATATCTTGAAGTGGTTGCCTCAATCTGAATGATAACGACTTTTGAGACTTGCCAAGAGCTCGCGTTTTACCTATCCTTAACTTGTACGCTCTGATAATATTCAGATGCCGCGAAAATTTGAATGTAAACAAGGACTTCGAGAGACTATTACTCTGGCACTTCGATCTACGTAAGAACTTCACGCTCCAGTGAAACTCTATTGAACATGAAGAGGCCCTCGACGACATTACGAAAACAAAGCACTTATGTACCTCGTTACCTCCAAAGCACAAACATTAAAGAAGCAATCATTTCGCTTTAACGACATTATTGAGGTTAGAATAAGGCGAAAAGCAAACTTGACCCA